AAGGCTAGCAATCAAGTGCTTCAGGACAAATTCCCCTCTAAGACTGAAACTCAAAGGGAAAACACAAACAAGCATATAAGCTTGCTGGCGACCACATTGGTCTACTGGTGAGTGGAAGAGGCAGAAAGGCATCAATGAAGAAATGGGCTGAGTTCAACCCCAGTCCATTGAATCCTGTTGACCTCGAGATGAGAGAAAGAGGAAGGGCTGGTTGGTCCAAAGTGTGGTGAGACCTAAGGACACTTGAGCCCATGGACAAGGACTGAGCCAGAGGACTAGAGCTGAGAGTGAAGCATCCAGCTGATATGAAGTGAGGGGAGATGCACAAGAACACCCAAACTTGCATACAGTACCCTTTTTACCTAGACTCAATGGCTCGATAATCAGAACTCGACTAGAGGAAGATTAAAATTAAATTTTTTTTTTTAAATAAAAGAAACAAGGGTAAATTGCTTCAATTTACGGTAGTTACTCTAAATACCAACAGAGAGGGAAAGAGTCTTCACCTCAAGTATCCATGCTATCCCCTCTGTACACAGGGTAGATAGGGACGGGCAGCTTAGACAATGGCTACCTAAAATGAGGGGGCAACAAAGGCATGAAGTGACTGACTTACAAGGTTTCAAGAGGGAGTTTAGTTTAAGAGTATGGGGGCGGGGAGAAAGAGTCCCCACTAAATAGCTGTCATCTTGTCTACATGGGTCTGGTAAAAAGAGATGTGGATAAGATTCTTAAGATTCAATAGTGAATAACTGTTATCATGACTAAATGTGACTGTCACAATTGTAAAGGTACAAGTTTTGTAACAAAAACAGGGGAGTGGTTAATCTTACAGTCCAGAAACAGAGGATCCTAGGACCATCAAGAAAGAAATGCACAAGCAGAATGCAGGACCTTATCCAGAGAAGCAGCAGCACCAGAGATGGAGGTAGAGATGGGGGCATGGGGAGGGGGAGTGGCTGAGAACTCTAGACTCATGGACTAAGAAGAGAGGGACTAAGAGCTGGTGGCCAGGAGCAGACTTGCAGAATGTGCCCTTTGGAGATGTAAATTATTATATATGCCTGAGTGGTTTTTTGTTTTGTTTTTT